TGAGGACAATGTCGTCTGCATACTCCAAGTCGAGAAGTCGTTCTCCTGGGAGTAGCTCCACACCTTCCAAGTCATGTCCTGTAAATGCAATCTCCATGACTTCGTCAATAGCGAAGTTGAAAAGGAAAGGTGACAGCCCTCACTCTGCCCGTGCTATGCGCGTATAATGCTCGGATGATATTTACATATTTATCAGGTACACCTTTCCTGAGTAGACAATTCCAAAGGGCACATCGATCAACCGAATCGAAGGTACCTTTGATGTCGAGGAACACGACAAGGGTGGTCCGCCAATATGTGTGACGGTGCTCCAACAACTGACGCAAGGTGAAGATGTGGTCGATGCAGCCACTACCCCGACGAAACCCGGCTTGCTCCTCACGAATCTAGCTTTCACGAGCGCCAGTCAGTCTGTGAAGGATTATAGAGGCGAGTAATTTGGAGGCGATGGAGATCAGACTGATTTCTCTATGGCTGCCGCTTTCCGAACCCGAGCCTCCTTTGAAGATGGGAACAATAACGGAGCGGCTCCAGTCGGTTGGGACAGTTTCCTGCTCCCACAGTTTCACTAGTAATTCATGTAAAGCATCAACAAGAGCAGAGCGTCCGAATTTGAAGAGGGCTAGAGGAAGCTCATCTGGTCCCGCGGCCTTGTTCAACTTCAACAATCCGATCTCACGTTCGACTTCTGAGCGAGCGGGTGGATCCAAAGTGACAGCCCACGGAGCAGGACGATCACTGGTCGGCGAACAATCGAACAATTCTAGCCGATTAAATTGTTTTTCAAAATGCTCAACCTAACGCTCCAAGCGTTTTGACCAATTGTGGATAGGCTGTGCACTCTCATCACGTATAGTTTCACTAACACCAGGTCTCCTGTTGCCCGTTTCCCGTATCAGACGGAATAACTTACTATGGTTGCCAAGGGCAGCGGCCACTTCCATCTCTGTTGCACGATGAGACCACCAGTATTCGCGGTCTCTCTTCAGGCTAGCACGGAGTCTTGCCCAGAGCTCTTTGCAAGTTTCATTGTGTTCGGTTCCAGCCGGAATTTGCCGGCGAGCGTCGATTAGTTCCAGAGACCGCGAAGAGACCCAATGTCCATGTTACCTATTAGACATACCACATGAGGATTTGCCTGCTGCTAGTAATGCCTGGTGGACATGTGACCAGTGACCATCAATTGTCTCCAGTGAGCGCTTACTCAACTCACATGTCAGCGTACTTCGATACGCATTCAGAACAGCTGGTTTTGCCAGTTGGCTGGTGTCAATGCGCTCACAGCTTCGTTGTGGGCGTCCGCCAAAACGCATCCGCATGTCAGCACATACAAATGCATCATCGGTGTCCACACATGTGCTCTAAATCGAGCGACAGTTCTGGATGCAGCCTCTCCAGTGGTAACTAATAGCAATGTGATCAATTTGCGTTCATAGGTGGTGGGCGCCAAGTCACCCTCCGGCGGGTGCTGTGTCGGAAGTTAGTGCTCGCAATAAATAAGCGGGCATCTTCACACAAATGAAGTAGCCGCTCACCGTTATCATTATGGGAGCCTACACCGTGCTGACCGCACAGATGCTTTTCATCAGTGGACAACTTTCCAACTTGTGCGTTCAGATCCCCCGCCAGCACAACAGTGTCCGTGCTTCTTCTGTGACGAAGGAGCTGGGTCAGTTGGCAGTAGAAGTCATTCTTTACCGAATCATCGCTACAGTTTGTGGGCGCGTAGGCAGTGATGATGAATAGACACCTATTAGTCCCGTGCGACTTCGAAGCTTTGAACGAGCCAGCCAATCGGACCGCACACATCCGACTGCTGATTGGAATCCAATCAACCAGAGCAGCTTCAGCCCGGGGACTCAGGGCAATGCCAACACCAGCTTGGCCGGTGCTCGAAGCTGCGTCGTCACCGGATAGGAGCAATGAGAAAATACTGCTTTCGTCACTTGAAGGGGATCGCAGAGTGAACACAGAGCTCGAGTGTTGCAGGCGGGTCTCCGATAAGCAACAGATATCGATCGAGAGGGTCTCCAATGTTCGGGCAAGTGCTGCCTGTTGACCGATCTGTAACAATGTGCGAACATTGAGGCATGCCATTCTGAAGGAGGATCGAGGGCTCCAAGTAGAAGCCGATGAACTGAGCTTGACCTCTTGGTCGGACATGGGCTTGTCGACAGGAGAGGAGTGACGCTCCGCGTTCACATGTGAGTTCAAATTAGAAGCATGTTGGGAGAGGGCTAAGAATCGGGGGGTTGAAAACAGGGGGGATAAAAGTGAAGTTGGAAGGGGACGGTAAGAGTGAACAAGCGTAAGGGGGGAATAAGAAGACGGGAAAGCTTGCACAGTAGCATTCAAACCCCTATCCACCCTGCTCGATGCAGCAGATAGGGCATCATTGATTCTCCTCTGCGGTGGCAAGTGCATCAAGAAACTGTTTGAAGAGAAATTCATCACATCTTTTACATGGATCAGAAACAAAATCAGCCCAAGTGCAGTGCCTTGGGGCACGCCGCTGCTCGATGGATACCAGTCGGTGAAATGGTTATCCACCTAGACCCTCCACTTTCGATCAACAAGCAAATTCCTGATCCATTGGTACAGCGAAGCACCAACACCGCACATCCTCAGCCTGTCGAGGAGCACTGCATGATTTACCTTGTCAAAAGTCAATGTAAATGACGTCGACTGATTTGCCTTGGTTCAGCGCTTGTAACCATTCGCGCCTCATCAACAGTAGGTTGGTGATGCACGAGCGACCTTTCACGAAACCATGCTGGGTGGGCGCCAAGAGGCTTTTTGACTCGAGAAGCTGCAGAAGTCTCTTCTTTACGATCTCGAGCGTCTTTGCCAAAACAGCGGTTAGGCAGATCGGCCGGTAGTTATCCACTTTGCTTGGGTTACCTACCACCTTTCGGTATTGGCTTTACGACTGAGCATTTCCAGTCGCCCGGTAATAGTCCAGTGGTTAGTGACCACATCGGACACCATTTGTCAATTTAGAAAGAATGTGTTTGAACAAAATAATATGAGCAGAAAATATGAGCAAAATTGTGGGATTTTGTGCTGACAACACCAACACAAATTTCGGTGGCGTTCAGAAAAGAGGACAAAACAATGTATTTGCGAAATTGAACTCTTCCATTAAAGAAACACTTGTGGGAATTGATTCCGTGGCTCACGTTGTCGACAGCGCATTGCAAATGCCAGCTAACTGTCGTCCTATTGATGTTGAAACAGTTGTGTCGAGAATATATTCTTACTTTTACATTTACACTGTTCGTGTTGAAGAACTAAAGGAATTCTGTGGCTACAATGGTAGAACACCAACGCAATCTAGGATACGGGAAAGCCAGATGTTCTTCACTTATGCCAGCAGTGGAGATAATGCGGAAGGTATTTTCAGCGTTGCAATCCTATTTCTGTCTCGACAGAAGTGTCCTACAGTATCATAATATTTCTTTGATAGTGGTGTGGTTCTTTACACACAATATATGATATTTTCCACGCTACTGTACTATTGAGGAGCAAAATATTTCAGCATTAGCAAGTCAAGTCAAAGTAAACTTTATCCGCCCGTGTGGGTACATTTTCGGCATTTTTACACCAACACTGAAGCTTATTAGACAACAAAGCATCGCTGAGAAATAATAATTAAAAGCGGTAAACGAAAATTGGCATCTTCTTTCCAGCATGCAGTTGCGAAAGCTTGGTTTCACTCCTGTTGTGTTGATTAGTAAGCGTGATAGAAAAGGCGGTATAGTTTCGGTACGACGAGGTACAAGAATATAAAAATTTAAATTTTGTCCCCTTTTGTCGGTAACTGGGATAACACTATGCACCTATTACATACTTCTTGCTCGGGCTAGTTATGCCTGCGCAAACGCAATCACGATTCTACCGCAGTAACCCGATAATGAGGCACCGCTCTTTCGATTTTGCACGCCTGTCTCCGTTCCAACCAGCCCGACGCACCGTATGTATCGATCGGTGAATTTGTCATGTGACGTGCCGTAGGTTAACCCCAACTCAACCATCTGCGCCATCCAGCGTTTTCACGATGGACGAGACCGGCAAGTACATATGTACTCACATACATGCATACGGTCGTTCTACACCCAAGTGCGGGTGTGACATCTTGAGATAGACCAACATCTACTGTTAGACAGTTGAAAATTTAGTGCACTCTACCTCACACCCGCATTAACTGCGTAGAGGGACTAGAGTTTTAGCACTTACCATAGATTCCGTTACTTTTTTGATTGATTTTTGTGATGCGCTTGTTGGCTTTACTTGTACTAACTGTGTTGTTGAATGCGTGATATACCGGTTTTGGGTGCTCTCAGTACGGGTGTTGACAGGATGCGCCTGCTCATTTGGGGCCACGATCCCCGTGGCTAACTTGGGCAAACTGCTAATCGTTGCCTAGTGCTCATGTTTAAGGGGGCTCATCGACTACATTATGTAGCGGACCACGTCTCAGTCGCAGCACTGTCCGCATCTTTCCACTCATCACCCATCACGGATCGGTGCCTTGAAGACTAGACGGGCTCTGAACTAATTGTTGTTCATCTGTACGCCTTTCAGTCGTATTCCTGGGGTATGTGAGTGGAGTCGCGCCACCACCCAGGATCCATTTTTTGCTTTTATACTATCCGTTATTGGGGTCTGTAATCGAATATCATCAACCATACACTTTAGGTTGGAATTCAGTCAGACACCTGAAACGTCACATCCGCGCCAATGTGTGTTGATGCCGGGGTTCGTCCCGTTTTTCTCTATTGCGTAATGGTGCACTCCCATTTCATGCGGAAAGACGTATGCCGCTTCTGACTTGTCGCTGTTCCTCTCTGGGCTAGGCCTTTTTATCCATGGTACTGTCGACGATAACCTCGTCTGGCGGCGCCTCATGACACAATACAGCCTGAGTCCCCAAATCCCTACGGTACCCGTGCTATTGATTAATTTTCCCCTCAATCACTTCAGTTGCTTTGCTTTCACAGACTTGAATGGCCTGTACGCGCTCTCGGATTTTCTCACGATAGTATGCTGATCGCCGCAGCGAGTGAAGACCACTTCATCGACATTGGCCACGTAGCAACGGGTAAGTTCGCTACGATTTGTTGCCCTTCAATTTACAGTGATGCAGTTTATTAACGAGGTTGCTTTTGTCTTCGGAATAGTTTGTGTACTTTTAAAGCATGCGTCAACTTTGATGACTGGTTTGGAACCCTTGGTCCTCACTGAGACTGGAGTGCCTCAGCGTACCCACTTTCTTGCAGATTAGTCGACAGGAGGCACTTTCCCTAACATTAGAGACCCTGTCAATGGATGTCTGCTGTTTATCGGAAGGTCGTCTGCGAGACTCACTCTGTGCTAACGACGATCCATTCCTTGTGACATTGGTGGCATTTTATCATTGCGCCTGTCCTAGGATAACACAGCTGCAAATGCCGGCCAGACCGGTGTTATGCACTGTTTTGAATTGCCTGCTTATGCAGCGGATGTCTATCAGCTCGACTTGACAAAAAGTTGGTGTGGTGCTATTTGATTCCTAGACCGCGAGATGCATGCCGTACTATTCACTGTTAGATTTTTCGAGAATCTAACAAACCTAAAGATTGCTGCCCGATTTTTTAGCTGGGAACTTCATCCTACATGTTGCACCATGCTCAAGTGGGTAGGGGTTTTGAATTTGCATTGTTTTTCCACATTGCTCCTGGATGTTCTTAGTTGTGTTCAAATGGGGAGTTTTTGATGCTTCATATCGCTAATTGTGTGTGGTTCGGGTTTTCTTACTTATTACCTTGACGTGTACATCTTGCCCTCATTGCATCAAACTCTGCAGTCCTTTCGAGACCCTTGTTACCACATTACCCCTTGTGTCCACCATAGGCGAACCGGTGTTTCAAGTGGGTAACCATTCTTCGGCCACCTTCGTTCTAGCCTGGCATCCGAAGCAGTACCTGCTCGCCTACTCCAGCGAGGCCAAATATGAACGCGATCAAGGCACAATACGATTGTTCGGGTTACCACTAGACGGTAGCCGCCCACTGGAGCAGATCTGATTTGTATTCTCGCCTCTCATTTTCTTATTTTCTACTATACATGTTGCACATATACGGTCAACTTGCACTCTTTTGTACTTTTTTCTATTCAATATGCTAAGTATACCCCCAGAGCTAAATTACGATTGGTCAGGGTCTCACAATCTGCGCCACCACACTGCAAAGGTAAGAATAATGGGTGTGAGGATGTGCCAGGAAATTCATGACCGAACATCTTTTGGGAGGGCTGCCACGGTTAAGTCATAGTGAACCGAGTTTGGATGTCCAGCAACGCGCATTATACTACTGGGTTTAACCTGCACGCTAAACTGGGCACAAGCGGCGTTCCATTGGTTCAGCTCATCCTCCTGTCTGTCTATTAATGGATTTATTTCCAATTCAGTAATATTGGTTCACATGACTGTTAGAACTCCTTAGTCCCGTCTGCTCTTTAGCTGCATTGGCGACAAGGTGACCGGTTGTGTTGTTACCTGCTGCACTTGACAACTGTCTTGATAGTTGGTATTGCCCTTATCGTCTGTTACCTTCGTAGCGGCTAAGGCCAAGGGCGTTAACTTTTGAACACGGTGTGTAGCAACTATTGCGTAAGTGCCCCTATGTTTTTCGGGGCTCGGATTTTATTGGTTGGTCAATGTTGTGGGTGTTTCGGTTTTCGCACTTGATAAGAGGGTAGGAAACTTGGCATTGGACGTGATTCGGTCGGCTGTAGTGTGGGATCGGTTTGAACTTTTCATCAGAGCTGGCACTAAAATACTGACAGGACGCTTGGCCCGTACCTTTGATTTTTTTAATAGGGGGTTGAAGTGGATAACTTTTGTACAAGCTTTGCTATTAATACCTCTAACGAAGCGAATTTTCGCTCACTCGTTCGGTTGCAGCCACCAAACTGCGTTGCTTTCGCGGTGATCTACACGCACACACAATTATGCACACGGTACAGAACTTTACATATTATGAATGGAAGTAGCTAAAACAATGAGAACATGCAAGTCCTAATTCGATCAGTTTACCACATACTTCAGGTCCACTAATGCCTTTCAGTCGAACTCTTTACTCTTCTCCCGCGTTAACGAACCGTAGTGGTTTAATTTGCCAGTTGACGGTGCCTCACCGACCTTTGGCTAGTCTGTAATGTTAAGCTTATAGATGCGACTGTGGACGATGATCGGATGCACCGGTGAGATGCGTTCTTGCACTTTGAAAGCTCACACGATGGACATTGGGCGAAGTTGGTTGTGTTCATCAGTCGCTGCGGCTTTGTTTGGCGGTGACCAGATAATAGTGGGCGTACGGGAACGTAAATTTTACTGTAGATGCTCCACACCTCGGTGAGACGGAGCATGTGTTAGCTAGTCCGAACGCCGTTGATACGCTGTATCGAAAGAGGCCAAAGGACGAAGTTGGCGTCCGCAATAGAGCACAGTTTTGCGCTTGAGTGTCTGCAACACACTCCGAGTAAATGCAAGTCCGGTTAAAAGCAAACTGCATGATCGCTTTTTCATAGTGAATGACTTCAGATGATGTAGCACGTTGACTTAAAACCAATAAGTCCATATCCACTGTTGTACAACCAAATGTGGCGGAGTAGGCTCGAAAAAGTTTAAAAGTGCGAAATCTGCAACCGTCGCGCGAGCACATGTTAGAGCTATGCATCCAATTAATTATTATTTTATTATCACCCTGTCTTCTTTTGTGGCCTTCTGTTTCAACAGTGACCGAGCGCGGTAGTTTGGCAAGTGAAATGCCAGCAGCTCCGGTTGGCTATGGTCTCGAAAGGCGGTTGTGCGGTTGCCTTGTTCGCATATCAACACCTCACGATTTGAAGTTTCTCAACACACCTGGGCGGACAGTGCCAAACACTTGTCTACTTGACGTCGCCCCTATCATATTACTCTAAGATAACTTAACCCTCCGTGTATTTCGTTTGTGTTAGCCGGTCACCTAGTGGCGTCTTGAATCCAGAAAAAAACAGATAAGATTGTTATGGGAATCACAGGTCTACTGAGTGGAGTGTGGCGGTTCCGCCTCTTCTCATTTGGAGTGAATCGAGAGCGGCTCCTCTACCTAATATGCGCCCCTGAGAGTCACGCAACGTGATTTTACAACCATAAGACTATCTTCAGCCCACTTCTGTGGCAGTTAAATTCCATGTACTGTTCAATCAGGAGAGCGCGACTGCGGTATACCGTCTGTATGTGACTGTTTTATCATTTGGGAGTCTATGAAAACGTGGTCTAGGCACCCTTCACCAGAGGTTATATCGGCATAGTTTCCACCGATCCCATTTTCCTGAGAAGTGTTAAAGCTCCGTACTATAAAGTTTGCAAATTGTTCGGTGCTCCTAGCTGTTGCACAACTTTCCTCGCTCCGCGCAAACTTCACTTGGGCTCACACCGACAAAACTGTCACCATGAGGCGATTCAAACTGCGCAGGTAACCTCTGAGCACTCACTGAAACTGCTGTCGGGTGTCAAAACACGCTGCTCTCTTCATTGACGCTACTGTATATACCGCCTCAACCAACTGGGCTCTCCTCATTTACCTACCGTGTCAGTCTGCGCTGGACCAACAGCTCTGCTCTGGACACTGCTGCATCTGCGGCCCCAATCCACACTGATCTCAACTGTTTTCATCCGGTCACCGCTACTACGTGGCCGTTCATGCGCCTTGTCAACATCCACCTTTCTCTATGGTTTTTGTATTACACCGCTATACCATTGAGTTGTAAATACGAAGGTGTACAAGGAGTGATTCGCCTCCCATTGAGCCAGTAAACAAACTCTTGCTATCGACCAACCTCTCTTTTCTGTGCCTCGCTATAGTCTTGTGAGGTCATGCATTTCGTCTCCAGTCTCAGCTCGCTTACACGTCTGGCGGCTACTTCACTTAAGCCTTATAAATCCGAAATCAGTTTGCCACTCTACACAGGGGGTACTATTGTTGAAGTGTTTCGTCCCTTCCGATTTGGAGTCGAAGCAACTAGGACGTGTTATATAAATAACAAGCTCTTTAAACATAGTAATGGTTTTTGGAAACTGTATTCCTAACAGCACACTCCCACTGCTCATATGTGGTCAGAGTCATTGTACTGACCACTCTGAATCACCACCGTTTGCAACGGTAGTGTCAGGCTTTGTTTCGCTTCAATTCTCTCACGTGATTTGGTATGCAATAACGGGAAATTAGTGAATTTAAATGCTCTCTACCGCAGCTGTGGAAGTTACATTGTTAGCCCCCAGCTTCCGTGCCGACGAATATAAGGATAGATCAACCGGCTAGATCAGTTAGCTTTTGTCCCACTCACCGAAACACTTCTTAAACTTACGCCTTATGTGAGCAGTAACAGGACTCGGCTGCTGCTAATTATACCACCCTATTTCATCCATCAACGCGCCCACTCAATTCCGTCGCTCATCCATAGGCACAATTTAGAGATTCCGCAGCCCCTCTGGAATTGAGTGCTTTCATCAATTTAGAAGTCGCTTCAGTAATCCATCCACTGTTCTAACAAATCAACTTAGACTCGTGAGCGATTTCCGACACAGCTCTTAGGATGGACTGCTCGCTGTCCCAGTAGACATTCAACTTGCCCATCAGTGACAGCGTTCTAAACATTCATACCAGATTTTTTTACCTGATCCCTACTTCAAATGACAATACGACATAAGTTTTCGTACTTTGAAACTAGGGAGCGAATGTTACGCCAGCATCTGCATCATAATGGAATTCACTGATCTGCTGAGTCAGGGTTTCTGGAAAGGGGACACTCACTTACTCCTTAACCTGGGCTTGATTGTGTCGACAGCGTCGGCGTCAACATCTCAATGAGCTTGGCCTGCTGCTGCAAAAGTGCTTGTAATTGTCCGAAGCTGGCTGCCATTTCTGGGTTCGATTGAAACCCGCGTCGCCACTGTTGTAACGCTGCCCTCACGTTTGCTCTCTGATTAACTGCTCTGCCCAGTCGGGGACGAAAACAGAACACCGAGCCTGCTAGACCGAAGTATATTCGGCACAGAACATGGTTCACTTTATAGGTCACAAGCTATCATTTCCAGTTGTAAGTTTCTGAGCTGACTCAAGCCATTTGCCCTGAACAGATTCCAAACCTGCTTGCGCCCTGTCACGTAGCAACCTGTTTCATGCTGACGGTCTGATTTCACCAGCTTCCCGAGTGACTTATCCGTGTTACCGTCGCTCGGGTAACAACCCGTGTAATGAGGATGAACTGATTTCATCAGTTTCCGGCAGGACTCAGCCGGCGGTCGGGTATTGTTACTTCCATACGAAATGAGAAAATGTAGCTGCGTTTTAAGATGCTTTTTCGCGTAAACTGCATGTACCAATGTACACCAGAGAGAAAGTGCAAGGCTCTCGAGGTCATTTGAACACTGAATTAAATTACGTATCGAGAATTCCGGCCGGCGGCCATTAGCCCTATTATACACACACGAGTGCATTCACGCGGTGAGCGGCTGTTGAGGCGTATCACCCTCACTTCTCTGGTTTGAGCTATTCGGCCTGGAATCGCTCTACCGGCCGGCGTTTGCGCGTAGACCGACTTAGAGGCACTTGGTTCGATGGTTAAGCATCGGCCACTTGTGAATCGATTAGCTTCAATATCTGGATTTCTGACTCACCGCTTTTTACTATGGTCGATGGTCCCGGCCGCTCGTACTCTAATTGGCGTCTGACAATCCTGCCATACTCAGTTTTTGCTTCAATGATTTTCCCGTTGGCTGTTCTAACAATGGCCAGTTACCACCTGGAATCTGTAGGTAAAAGGACATAGATGAGCTGATTCTTCTACGAGCCTGTCTCTGCTGCCGGTGTCAGAACGTTCCTTTGCGCGTTCTTGTTTTCCGCAAACCTCCGAACCAAGTGAACCGTGCAATAAATCCAACCGTGTACGCAACCGACGGCCGGACATTAATTTCGCGGGGCTTCTGCCCGAGGGGTTCGTTTGCATGTTTCGATAAGCGAAATGGTCACGGTCTAAACGCACACGCAGTGGAGCTGCTGGTTGCTTCAGGATCATATTCTTCACTGTCCGCACAGCTCTCAGCCAAA